CGGGGCGGAAAAAAAACCCAGCCCCTGATTGAATGATCTCTTCCACCAAGCTTCAAAAACGGAAGCTTTCCAGGTGGAAGCCTTGCAAGATGCTTGCCGCCCTTTGATGCCTTCTGCGACCCAATCTAATCCAAAACGGAATCGCCAGCGCAGTGACTTTATGGCAAAATGTCAAGAGAACAGCAAGAGCGAAGCCTCCGCTGCCATACGCACAGTCTCTGCGGCATGCCAGGCTGCAAGGGGGTTGGTCCTGGCTTGAATCTCCAAGCCTCGTTCCCTTACTCCGCAGCCCGCCCTCAACCTCAAATTCAATCCACCAGTCCTGGCCAGAATCCCCATCACCTGCGCTTTGCACTTGCAGTGACATGAGTTGGGTCAACCAATGCTTTGTGCAGTCTCAGCATGTCTCAGTCTCTGACGCCAGGTGGGCTTTCGATGACGGCAGGTTGTACACCTGCACAGCAGATTACAGCAGTGCAAGCGCACTTTGCCCGATCCTGGGAGAGCGACTATGCGCCATGTACTGCATGTCTACCCGGCTCAGGTACTGTCGCTCATGTGAGCTATGGCTAGTGCTGGTACAGTAGAATCTGCCCTCATCAAACCGAACTTGCGATTTTATCGCCGCTGACAAACATCCACGCGAGTCTTTTCTGCCTTCTTTCCTGCTTGCCATAAACTGATGTAAAAAGTGATATAAGAGTGACGTACAGTATACCAGACCTGGCCGACCGCCCAACTCTGCTGCTGTGTGAGTTACGGCACAAGCCATTAGCCTCGCATCTTTGAGGATTCGTCTTGCTGATAACAACTCTCCTCTCTCGTTACTGTAAGATCTCGGACGTTCCTCAAGAAGCCACTGCAGCGAGGAAGCAGTCTGAGTTCCGAGCCAGATACGAAGTAGGGACGGTAGAAAGGGTTTGCAGCCACCCAGTCGTTGACCTTCTGGTACTCCTGAACTCCTGCATTTTGCACAACCACGGCAATTGACTCCTATGTAGCAGTGTCCGGCGGGATTTGTTGCTGCACGGCGATGGAGGACATAACTTGCCATCACAGTTCATGATATACGTATCGGGGAAGACGCTTCAGAACTATGAAGCCGCTTGCAAACGTCGCCCTGGCAGGGATTACAACGCTTAGCCTTGCTGTACACCATCAGGCACTGTCTGTGTAGCATGACGCATGCAGGGCCTGTTCTCGACTGTAGCGCTGCATGAAACTCTCACCAAGAAACTTTCGCTACCTGCTGCCTCGAGGGCCACTCGTATTCGTTCACAGCGGCTCCTCGAAGCTCTTCGGCCGCCTGAAACGGAAGCCGAAAGAACATGCCCTGTGCCCACTGCCAAACATAGCCCGTCTTCAGCCTGTCGTACGACCGGCTCACAGCTTTCAGAACTGCAGCATTGCAGGGCCTTTGTGCTTCTGCCTTCCCCGACCCTGCCTGTGCAGCTTTGGCCACGGCCTGCAATGCTGCAACCTCGCGCACGCTACAAACAACTCGTGGAAAGGTGTATTTGTAAGAACATCTGTCGAGGGCAAACCGTACATGAGACTACGGGTTTACGAGTACGTTGGTAGAAACATGCCGAACCCAGGCCGACCCTCACACTTTAAAAAAGCTATGTTCAGGGTGTGGTTTCAGTAATTTTGTTCTACCCACGCAACTTTTTCTTGCCACCTAAGACCTCAGACAGCTTCAGTCATTGTGCACTATATGCAACTACCGTACTCAATATGCTGAGCGAAGGACTTTCGGATCCAAGATGTCCGCAGGCTGGGCAGCATCTTTGAGAACTTGACCTTGGTGTTTAGCAAACTCAGTAAAGGACTGCTGGCACTCCCTGGTCCTTGCTGCTTGTCTGACGAAACTGGAGCCCACTCCTTGGCTGCGGGCTCAGCTGGTCCTCCGTATTCAGGTTGGGCATCCGGCCAGATTGCAGGCACAAGCGTCATGCGCTGGAGTAGGCCCCATTAAACAGCTTTGACCGCCTTTGCGCCTTACAAGTACACGATGCCTTCTTGGTGCTGCTTGCTGTATGCATAGCACATCATAGCACTGCAATTACAGATCCCTTGTGCTGCACATGCTGCACCACATCGTGGTGACAATTAAGTGATCCAAAGCTGCAAAGACACAAATTGGACACAGGTCGTGTCTGTCTTCCCGGCCGCTAGGAGACCGATGACGGGTACATCAAGACCCGCGTGGACCAGTTGTTCGAAGCGAGCTCCCAAAATGGTTAGACTTCGGCTGGCGCACCGGTGCAAGCGCGCGGGGAAAGACTTGGCAAGCAACACTTTGCAGAGAGCAGAGGCATTGACAGGAGACTGACAGGTATACCTCCACTGCTGAGCTTGAAGCCGCCAAGCGGCCAGAGACGTAGCTGACCTTTTCTGGACCAAATGAAGCCAACTCCATGTCCATGGGTATGATTCCACGGATCTCCGACGCTCCAAAGATAGCTCACCCGGTGCGTGAGCCTTGTATTGATGAACTTCTCTGCGCCTCACTGCCCGGCGCTGCAGCACAGGAGCGCATATCAAACACATCGCCGATTTCGCCGAGATTGGTCCCGCACTGCAGCAAGCCCGCGCGGCGCATGGCCAACCTCGCCACTTGATGCGCACATGCTTGAGCCACGAGTACCCGTCGAGCCGTCGACCGTACTGTACCGATTTGTGTTAATTGACAAGCCGACCGTTCGAGCGGTGTAGATTTGAGTGCCGATTCATCGTCTCCATATTCGTCGGTAATAGCTTAGGTTGGGCCTGGGCCGTGCCGGCCAATCAGGGTTCCGCAACGGCTGACCTCTCAGGCAGAGGTACGCTCAACTTGATAGTGAAAAGGCGAAAGGGATTCGTTCACGGCTTTCGCAACAAAATCTGATGCTAGCAAAATTGATAGCGATCACCTCAACTTCTGGCGCCTTGTCGATGCCGGACTTGCTTCTTCTGGCAACGTCGCCATTGAGCCCATCTCCTGCTTTACTACCAGTAGCACGCATCACCTTGTCCGGAGCTTTCTTGCACTCTCACTGCTCTCACGATCTACGTAAGTCTAGATCTGTTCTTGCGGGCACTGGCGATGCTGACACAGAATTCAAATCACACCCAGCGCATGCTCCACGCGAGCCGCGGCCCTTTTCTCCCAAAGTCAAGAGTTGAAAATTCGGCGTGTGGAGACTTCGAGGGGTTTGGCCCTTCGTCCTCCATCTCCTGCAACCAGCTGGAAATTCTGTCTCGCAGAGCGCTCTTGTGAGACTCCATGGCATTTTCCACGCGTAGCTGCTTGAGACCAGTCTGCCACCAAGAGAAGCTTCTTCTCAGCAAAAGCTGCACATGTTGTCGGACGGCAGTGGCTGTCTTTTGCAAAGCCGACTCTGCAGAGCATAGTGCCCAGCATCTCAGCCAAAGGCAGAGACACCACCGCCGCGAAGCCGCAACTGCTGCCCAATACTGCCGGAGCTTGGCCAATTGAAGTTTCTTCAGCCACGACACGATCGTTCGAAAGGCAAAGCGTCGTGCAAACCAGGTCACCGCCAGATGAGCTCGGGCAAGTCGTGCGGCTGACTTCGCCGATACAGCATGCAAACGATACCGGTGCCAGTTTGTGAAGCAGGTCTTCAGCAAAGCTGTCCGCCTCCGGTTCAAGGCGAGTAGGTCCCAAAAGGCCGTATGACTGACGGCCTGGCGCAAAGCGCACCAAACCCGAATGTATTGATGAAGCCTGTAGAGTTCCACAGCCTGACGCTCACGATCTCTTCTGATTGCGGCTGCGACAAGCCGCTGTGCCCGAAGGCGTCGCTGCTCCTGGGCTTGCTCTTTGCGCAGACGCAAGCGCTCCTGCTTGGCCTCCTCCTCTGCCAGGCGCTTCTCCTGTTCCTCCTCAGCTTGCTTCTGCTTTTGTTCCTCCTCCTTCTCCTTCTGGCGTTTCTTTCGCTCCTCGTGGATAAGGCGTCTCTCCTCCGCCCTCTTCTCCATCTCTCGCAAGGCCTTTGGCCTTGCATGGCTATTGCTGGCCACAGGTGGGAGGCTTGGACCACACCCCTCTTGTTGGGCACCGGGATGTGCGGAAGCCGCCTGCGTCCCCTCCTGTTGGCGTCTTGCAGGATCGGGAATTGCTTGATGGCACCTGTCACTGTCCACACAATCTTGCTGAGCTTCTTCGGCCTGTCTCCTCTGTCGTTGCTGCCGCCTCTCGTCCTGTGCTTTCCGTCTCTCTTGCACGCGCCTTTCTATGGCACGCAGCTCCCGTGATCGAGAGGCAGGACGTGCCTCACGCGAGTTGCAGGCTTGTACCGGTGTGGCCTGCTCTGCTGTCTCTGTGTTAGTCTCGGCCGGGCTGGTCTCTGTCGGGCCATCTTCAACCTGACTCAAGATCGCTGCTTCTGCAGCTTCGGACGCTTCGACATGCTCTGCCGCATCTGGGGCCGCTTGCGCCTGTGAAGGGTCGGCGTCCGCAGCGGAAAGGGCGAGGGCGTTCAGGAAAGCAGAGGCTTTTGCAGAGACTGCCTCTTTGGATCTCTCGGTCTGCGTGTGATGGACTTCGAGTCGCCATGCAAGCCAGCTTCGGGAAGCCAAGCGCCTCGTATAGTGAGCATCTGCCAGCCGAGCCGCCTCCCGTGCTCGCCGCATGACTTCCAGGTGCTGTGCAGCCTGACGATCCGCAATTGCAGATGAAGCCACTTCACGCCAAGCGTGCGCACACGCCGACAAGACGAACGTGCTGTGGGCACTGGAAACAATCCTACTCTTCCTCTTCAGCATCTTGCTGGCATCACTTAGGTGATGCAATGCCCAGCGGGAGTGTGCCCGCATCATTCTCTGCCCCAGAGCGTCCAGCAAAGAGCCAAACTCCGCCCCAGCTCTTTCACGCTGTGCTGATTTGGCCGAGTCCTTCTGCTGCTGGACCTCTCCACTCTGCGGATGCCCACGGAATCCCATAGGCACCCATGTACAGGACCTCAAACCTTTATTAACGGCCTACTTCCCGAATTCCCAACCCCAATCCAGGCCTCTTCCAGCTGCTGCTCCAGGCTCCTGACCTCAGACGCCTTTCGAGCTCTGGCCTGTTCCGCTGCATGCAGCTCGCGTACTGCTTTGACCTCCCGCTCAATCTCCTGCAGGGATGGCAGCTGTGGCAGTTGCATCACGAAGACTGCCAGCTGTCCTCCTTGGCCTTCGCCACTTCTGCATCAAGACTGGCAGTTTCTGATTCCAGGTCCTGCAGCTGTACTAGAACCAAGAGTACAAGTCGCGAATAAATGGGCCTTTAAATGGGCCGCTCCTGACAAACTCGAGCGACCTCCAAAGGTTTCTGCCGCCCTCCGCTGGTGCTCTTGGTTGTCTTGGAGCGCTGACGGATCATCCTCAAAGGAATCTTGCTGTTTCGAGGCATGACTGGTAAACGCTGCTGGAAAACGTCCTCGGCGGCTTCGGGGGACCCTTGGCTTCACGAGCCTGCTGGGTGCTCAGGCCCAATTCCGTCGTGAGCAAAGGCTTGCGCATGATCTTGCAGGCATTCCTTGCCTGCTCCGCACCGCCAGCGCTGCTGCCGCTTCGGCGCTCCGCAGTACGGCGGCGCTCTTCGAGTGCACGGTGCCGCGCCTGCAAAGGCGCGTAACCTTCATGCTCGATTCAACCCACAACTTCTGCGACAGCTCGGCCTCCATTCGCAGAAAAGGATCCCTTTCAGGAGGCAGTGGTTTACCTGCACGAGCAAACTATTGAAACTAATGGTTTTGACAGGGCATGTCCAGTCTGAATGAGGCTGCCCAGTTGCTGCTGGGCCGGCTCAAGGCTTGTGCGCTGGCACGTGCCTCGCACGAGGGCAACCGAAATACGATGGAACCAAGCCGAACGCATGGCGAACGAGGACTCTGCTGACAGCTCATTGCACCTGCTCCTCTGCCTTTTCCATCCTCCTGTCCGCAAGGCCTTGGGTTCCAGAGTTGAGCCATCAGACGACCAAGTGCGAGGCACGTGAGGTATGTTGTGGGCCTGTTCCGCTTGTGCAAGCATCCGGAAAGCGGGACTCGCATTCTCGCGCCTATACTTCGATATGGCGATGGATCGCAACTGGCTTCGCCGACTCTGCTCTGCTTTGGTTGTTGCTGCCACTCTAGAATTGCTGCTAGTCCCGGAGGCAGGTGGAACTGCAGCTGCAGTCTCTGCCACTGCCAAGGAACAACGCAGTGCGACGTCTACGTCCGCTGCCAAAGCTGCGTCTGCATGGCCTTGAACTTCCTGGGCTTGGGAAACAGCAGTCCACAACCAAGGCTCACAGACACACGCAAGCGCCAACATGGAGCACAGCCTAGGCTCCTTCAACTTTCCTTCGACTTTCCTGTACAGGTCCGTGGAGGTCCGTCGTGAAGAGCTCTTCAGCAGCGCCGGCATGGACAATGAGTCTGCAGAGTCTCTGGTTGGCCGGAGCTTGGAATCCTTGCAGGCACGAGATGAACAAAGCCTCCTATCAAAGCGGTTCTGCCGTCCACGCTCACGAGTGTTACAACCTGTTCCGAGTTGTTGCATCTGTTCTGCCAAGGCAAGCTGATAAGCTCGGTTCTAGACCCTAAACCCACTTTTCTTCGCAACATGATTGATGTAGTGAAGTCAACATGTGACAGTCGAGGTGAAGCAATTGTTCAAGCGATTAGTAAGTTTGCCCAAGCCACAGATTGCGTTCTGCGCTGCAAAAGGTCGGCGGAGTCCTCCTTTGCTGTGACGCTCTCGGCTGACTCGCATCTTGCAGTACCAATGCCGACGTGAAAACCTCAACCGAAGCGAAGCACAGACATCACTGACGTGTCCTCGTGGCGAAGCCACGAGCTCAGGAGATGCTTTGCTTCGGCTTGGATGTCTGCATCTCTCCTGGTGGGAATTCAATTCAACCATCTTTTGAGACCGCTCCCTCAGAATCACTGCGTATCAAGCCGGGCGCTAGAACTGCATCGTCTTGCAACCGTCTCCTGCCGGCGCCTTCCCCGTCTCGAGCACTGCCGTGGCTCCCAAGAAGCATCTGCGGATCAGGGCACACAGCACGACTCAGCTTCAAAGCCATGCGTTCGCATCCTATCGCCAACCAAGAAGGACATGCGGCACGAGCTGACCCAACAGACAGACTCCGACCCACATCCAAGCTTGTCAACTTAGGGGCCTCTGCAGCTAGGCCGTGCTTTAATGGACGGTCTAGCTCGGACGAACCATGCAAAGAGCAACCCGCTGGGTCCACATCATCTGCTGCTAAATTGGGCCGTCAAGACAGGGGGCCTGAAACTTTCCGTATCTCTTACAGGATGTGGACCCTAGGGCAACATGCAGGCTGATCGAATTAGGCGATACAGATCTGAAGATTGACTTTACGCTGTCAAGTGTTCCCTGCGACCGGAAAGACCAGTGCGGCAAATACGACAAGAATGCCTGTTCCCATCTTAGTTCATGCTCTGAGGCCCTAACAATGTTAACATGGCATTGCAGACAGTGTCTTCCAACTTGAGAACTTGGTGGACTTGTTCCCGGGCTTTGATCCAGCAATATCGCTGCGGTACGAACAAATTTGAGCAAGACTGACACAAACTGGCACCAATCACCAACGAAAACTGGACCGGACCTCTGCCTGCGCCCTAGGCGGCCCATAATCGGACGAGCTCGTGGCATGTGGCAGTTGGGCGCAAGATGGTGCAAGTCTGAATGGCTTCAGCCACGTAGCATCCGTCTCGGTTTAAACCTAGCCTCCACTGCATTGCTTGTCTTGTTGTGCCCTTTGCTGTGGCGCAACTAGACCTTCGAGAAGTTGCCAAGCCAACCCATACACAAGGAGTGGGTGCGGTGAACAAGCTGATTTCAAACGCGCTGGTCAGACCTTGATTCTGCAGTTTTGCCACCAGCATTACCAGCATTTCTCCTAGATCCTAGCTCACTTCCACTGTCAGGCTAATATTGTGCGAGGAGGCGGGACACGACCATGCAATGGGCACGGTTTACGCCACCCACCTGACCAGTTAAGGTCACCACGCACGTCTCCGCCCCCGGAACGGCTGGGTCAATCACCAACTTGGCTCCCGTATGCCTGGAGATCTCCTTGGAGTAGATGCCGCCTTTGCCTAAAACGCGGCTCACGGATTCTACAGGAATCGCGAACTGGATGGTGGAGACGCTGGCTAACACCGCCGGGTCCTGCTCGGCCTGCAGGAACTCCATCGGCGTGTCCTGGGCCCCGTACTGCCCGTACTGGCCCTGCCCGTACCCGTCAAAGCCTTTCTGGCCCTTGCCTCCGGCCATCGGAGCTGGGCCCAGGGCCCCCATTCCTTTGCCATGCCAGTCACCTCCTTTGCCACTGCCCCAGTCACCGCCCTTACCTCCGCCATATTCACCCCCCTTGCCACCGCCGCCAAAATCACCGAAAACGCCCTTGGGACCTGAACCCTTGCCTTTCCAAGTTCCGGCGAAGCCTGCATCTGTGCCATACTCGTTGTTGGCCACTTGCTGGGAATCGCCAGACCCTTCTACGAGCTCAGTGAGTCTGAAAAGGAGCTGCTGCAGCATCTCATTCGGCCCGTTGACCTTTAGCACTTGTTCTCCGTTGTGGGTAAGCTTGTCGGCCTCTATGTGGCAACCGAACTCCTGCCGTAGCTGTTGGATGTTCGCGCCCTTGGCGCCAATGATCTTGGACACGGTGTTGCGAGTTAGCAACAGCTGTGCGACGACCTCACCTGAGCCCGACAGTGCTTCCTCCGCCAACTTCTCCATCACGAATGCCAAGCCTTGGTCTACACTTGGTCGCGGACCTCCGAGGACCACAACCTGGAGGCCTGTGCCCGCGAACTTGTTCTCCCAAATGTGCAGGGTTACCCCACTCTGGGCCCTCAGGGCTTTGACCTCGGCACCGCCCGTGCCAATGATCTTGCTGGCCGTAGCCGGGCTCACCAGGATCTTCACAACCACATCGCCGGGCTGAAACTCGAAGCGGCGCCGTTTGGGCCGAGGGCCGGGGCCCAACATCGCTGAATCAGAGCAAATCCACAAGTGTGTGTGGCTTACACTTCCCTTTGACAAGGTGCTGGTGCCCATGAAAGACTTGACTAGGTATCGAGCATCGCCAACTGTTGCAGCATCTTGGCAACCCCCTGGAAACACATTGAACCGAACACGACAGCTGGCAGAAGCAGCAAAGATATCAGGTAGGCACGACTCGATGATTTCCCCGAGGGCGCGAGTCGTCAGTTAAAGGTACACACACAGGCCGTCGAGCGAGCAAGCACGCACACACACACACACACACATGCCCCATTTTCAGCTGCCTCACAGGTGAGCCTTCGCTCTATCCTGTGCTCAATGTAGCACAGCGTAAGACGAACGCAATGCTGCCACGCTCAAGCTACCACATACTCCGCTTTTGTCACCAACGAATTCCACCGACAGGCTGGCAGCACTCGTTCCTGTGGGCCCTACGCAACGCACTCTCGGAAAAGTTGTGCAAGTGCTAAGGGAGCTGCGCACTGTCAAGCCTTTGTGTTCCTGCGCATCCTATACATGATGCTGCCGAAACACCTTGCAAACCAAGTCATGTGGAGCAGAAAACGGAGATACTCAACCCATCTGTGTTTTGCAACACCGTGTCACATGTCTAGCCCGCACCTTGCTAAAAGCATGTCCTGCTACAGTGGCTACAGGCTACTCGGATGATCAAAAACATCATACATGACTGATTAGTGAGGCAGTGCTCCACGAAAATTCCGCGAAAATGTACGTCGTGCTATGTACAGTTTGCGGTGAGCATCACAGGCTCCAGTGGCATAAGAGCCCATTTCCGAAAAGCGAAGATAGTGCTGAAAAGTGTGCGGTGCGTCTCCTTTTTTTGCAGGGCTTTCTCAGCTGGAGTCTGACATGGCACATAACGACTGGACTAGGAAAGTGGATCGCTGGAAGTCGGGATTCCTTCCTGACATGGAAAACATCTGGAGAATGGTAACGAATCGTAAGGGCAACCGACATTCTGCTATCCACTTTCTGAAAAGCAACTCATACATCAGCAGTGTCAGCGAGAAAAGGATTCCTCTCACAAGACTGCGAGGCTTGCGGCAGGCACTTGCCAGTTGCGGGCCGAGACGCCTCGAAGCTGAACTGCATCATTCATTGAGTGCAAATCTCCCAGTTCACCATCTGCACGGCAGAACATCCTGCAATGCAGAGCTGAATCCCCGTGCACAAACGACAACGACGACAACTCCTCTTCGGGGGCTCCAGTCGAGACGTTGGGTAACGTGACACGCGAAAACGCGCCGCCTTTTTCTGAGCCATTCCTGCTTGCTGCGTGCACACCGACCTGAACTCAGAGATGTGCAGTTATCGGCTCCTTCCCACGCTGCGACTCTGCTTGCAGGCAAGCATCCGTTCCAAGCTGGTGCTTACATCTTCGAAGCAGCTTGCCTGAGCATATGTCAACAGGCAAGTGAGGTGCACCCTCGACTTGCAAGTATCGCCCAAGGAAGCGCACACAGCACAGGAAACGCTTCATCGTTGTATAGCATTGCAACAGCCTTCCGCCCCATATCCCGAACCAGCCCGGTGAAAGTTTGTAGAGCCAGGCCGCCGCAGGGCTGCCACAATGTCCTGGAAGCCGACGCCGTGCAAATTCAGTCGCAAAGCGTTGTACCCCGGTAAAGCTGCTAAGTCCAGATGAAATAAACTGAACTATGTCTATGACCAGAAGCGACACCCCAGTGCCGCCCTTGATGCTTCAAAAAAGACCTTATCTCGCAAGCGGCTCTGTCGGGCACTTTAAGGCAAAATCCCGAGTTCGGGCTTCACATCTGTATGCAGTACACACTCGCTCTTGCAATCGTAAGGTTTCGGATGCTGCTGGGATAATCCCCAGACCCTAAACCTAAGCTCTATCAGTAGTTGGGCCTAACTGTCTAACGCCGTCAGACACCTCTTGGCAGCAGAACGTTAGCTCGGTAGTCTCGCAGGCAGGTGGAGTACCTGCTGTCACCCCCATAGGGCTGCACGTGGGCGGAAACTGGCAACTCAGCGCACCCACGGCATGCTCCCGACCCTATTGGGCGGGCTGGCTGGAATTTCAAGCAGCGAGCAGCTGTGACAGTGATGCTGGTACCTACTCAAACACGCGTGCACACGCACACACGAACCAGGGTTGGACGCGTAAGTGATCGTACTGAACGGGAACGTGGGATGTTCCGAGAGAGGAATGAACTGAACTTACACGTCCTCGTGCACACACGCTCTTGCAATCGCGAGGTTTCGGTTGCTGGGCTGACCCCTATACATAAACTCGCAACGAACTTCGATGATCCCTGTAGTCTCCCCCTTATGAATTATAGCGCCTGACTGTTCTTCGTCTCGGCCCTTTTGACCTCTTCTTCGGGCGCATTCCGGGCCAAATGCATCCCGAAAATACGATATAAATCTGAATCAGAGGCAGATTTAATAATCCGGGGAAGCGACTGCTGACTAGTGACTAGTGTAGTTGGAACATGACCCGTCCACTATGTCCTCTGGCTTGGCGTGGTCTCCCAAATTCTCCTCGAGGTGGCTGAAGGCAGGCGTCCCGTCTTTGTTCAAGACGTAGCCTCAAGTTTCAGATTCGAGCGGACTAGCTGCTGCACTTGGACTTTGGTCGTGAGAAAAAAGGCTCCTAAGTTCAATCGTTTTGAGGTCTCGCGGCTCGGATGCCGGCGGCCCTTTCGGCTGGCTTTATGCGACTCTCGCTTGCATCTTAGTAGCAACCACCAGCAATGAAGCCCTCACCCTTCCTCGGTAGGAAACGGTTCTGCGAAGGCCATCGGTTTAGCGGAGCTTTTCAGTGACTGGTCCCTCCGCTCCCCTTGCCAGGAGTCATATTCCCAGGAGTTGACGTGTTCTTGATGTTGGCCTTCGTCTTGCTGGAGCTGAACCTTGGACCGATGTTTAACTGGCAACTAGTAAAGAAGCATGCAGACGCCAAACGGATTCTGCTCTCAGCAGCGACGTGGACGAGGCATCCGATCCACAGAACCGCAAAAGTCGAGGACCCGGCGGGTTCAACATCATGCCCAGAAAGGAGAGCAGTCCCAACGGCTGGTGGGTCTGCCAGGAAGCATGGGGGAAGCCGAACACGAACACGTATGCGCTTTGTCTCGAGCCGCAGAATCTCGCAGATGTCTCTTCGGCCTCACCGCCGCCCAGGGCCTTGTAGAACTGATGCTCCGAGTCCATGAGCACCTCGCCAGGCCAGAAGCCTTCACCTCAGCTCCGTGGAAAAATCGCGGTGTCCCGAGGTCATCAGTTCTGTCTCTTGCGGAAGGTTGAAGAGATGCCGCATGAAGCAGCCAAGCCCCCAACTTAGTAGCCGCTTCGGAATGATCTTACAATTCGTGCAAGTAGCCGTGAAAAAGCTAGCCGGTGGCCCTCTGAACCTGGTAGTTACGTGCTCATACACCGGCCTCGCGTTCAAGTTAAAGCAGCAATCCAGCACCAGAACAACTCGTGCCCGGTTTGTAGATAGATTGGGCGATCGTAAATGTGGAGCATGGACTGGGACTACTAGTCAGGAGTGTTTTGCGTCGGTGGCACGGAACTCTTTGACCTCATTCTCCAGGTCTTCTTTCACCAGAGCAACCACGCGAGTGGCGCCAGCAGCTTTGAACTCATCCTGAGTAGTGCCTAAATGCTGAATTGCCAGACGTGGCATGCGTTCTGTGAAAGTCTGGGACTACTGACCACTGCAGTCACCATCGCTGCGACGTGACGGGGAAATGCCGCCCAGATTGCGGTCGCAAGGAGGATGCCAACGGCTTGATTTAGTCCTAAGGCTCATCCCTGCTGGCTTAAAAGCTGCGTTCTTTGAGTTTCAGTGCAGCCGCAGCAGCCATGTGGGAGGCGGCCTCCTTGGCCTCCTGCGCAGATGTCACCATCTGAAGACTATGAAGACACGGACACACATTGCTGTTTGAGGGCGCGCTGTCGAGACCAGTCATGGAATCATGTTTCACTCAAGCACTACAGCAGGATCCGACATGAGTACACGGCAGATCTCAGTCCTTCCGGCACATGCCTGCAGCGGCGATGAGCTTCAATACAGGAGAAGAGTTTTAGCCGAAGATGCAGATCCACACCCACTGTCCAAGCTCCTGTTTCATCAAGCCTTTGTGCCCAAAACATCTTGAGATGGCCTCAGCCAGGGCGGCGAATGGCGAAGACCAGTGCTGGACCCCCGGTAACCTCAGCAAACACAGCGCTCTTGGTCGCGGTATCAAACTGCCAGGAAAGCTCCAGAAGGCCGAACCACGGCAGAGTTCTTGAATCCCTCCGAAAGTCTTTGGGCGACGGATTGAAGCCAAGTCTGCGGCAAGCCGCTCCAAACGATTCCCATTATCCCCTAATGCCCTGGTGACATCGGACCGAGATAGCATACAAGGCGACATAACATTCGCCCTGTTGCAGTCCGCAGAAACTGTTGCAAACTGTTCGCAGGAGTCGAAACGAATGCTGCCGTGAAGCCAGATCCGATGCTGGGAAATCGGGGCCTGCTTCAGTTTCAGCCAGGCGAAGCGTGGTCGCTCACTCATGTTTCATGACTGCGAAATGGTTTTAAGACCACACAGCAGTCAAGGTCTCCTGTCCCCTTTGGCAAGGGTGTAAGCACGGTCGTGAGCGGCGGTGCTACCGGTGCTGGTGGCATCGTGGCAAGTCGTCGGACCTGTCGAGGGCTACAGTACTTGCTGCCAGAGCAGTTCGGATACCGCACCACACGTCTACTCATCGTACACAAATGTCTAGAACCCCACAACCTGAATTGAGTCCAGGAGCTGCTGCTGCAGCACCAAGGGCACGCATGCTTCGAGCCCAGACATGACACCAAAGTTGCGCAAGATCCGGGTGGTGTCCGAACAGCATCAGTATGGTTACCAAGAGTTCGTGATACACCCCGGTCCCTGCATCTACAGGGCAGACTCGGGGCTCTGTCGCAAGCAATAACAGGTATGCGAGCTCTGGGGGGAGTGCGCGCTTGTAGACCGTGTGGAATTTGAGCAGCACCCTAAGGATCCTAAAGTGCTGAGAGTTATGCACGTGAGTTCTGTGAGGGTCACGTTGGCCCTGCGACTGACAGCACATGCTTGCGGGAACCCATTTTAATACCATTTTCAAGCGTTGCACCGGCTCGCTGCCGCAAGCAAATGGCGAGCACCTTTAACTTACTTGAGGGGCAAGCCGAAGCCAATGAGAGCCATACCATCACATTATGAGAGAGCAGGGGCCATGTGCAGGGACGCTCTCGAAACTGAGGTCCGTGCTACTCTTCCGGGTGCAGATACTGCTACAAGTTCTTCCTTGCATCATGCTGCTTGCTGCAGCTGCTGTTGCTGATGTATATTACATGTGGCTGTTTTCCTCGTTGTTTTGATTGGTACACTTCTCGATTCGTGCGTGCCATCCTTGCGCAGGGGCCATGCTAATCTTCTCTGTATCGTTTCAATTTTGTCGGATTCGCTTCTTTGGTTGTGAAGTTTTACTGATCTGGTCACCGTTGAGCTCGACATGCGGAGTGAGGCGCAGGTAACACAGAAATCAAGACCGAAGCTCGAGACTAGAAGGCGCTCAACAAGGTCTGCGGCTGCTTTGCGAGTTCCTATTATAACTGCTTAACTTGCGAGTAGGTGTGCAGGCTGACCTCAAGGCGTACCAAAATGACCGAGTTGGTAAGAACATACAACTACAACAAGCATGTGAATGAAGTGTTATACCCCTACAGTATCTTCCCTCTTCATGCCCTAGCAGCTCCTAGAAGACGGAGCAGGAAGGAGCGACCGGAGGGAATAAGCAATGCTGTGCCTCTTCAAGCACACAGTAAATAGGTCGTTAAGTGTATTTCTATCAATCTATTGGATGATGGGAAAGATGTGCATCATTTCCCAACGTGCAAACATGGCGGCTTACATGTAGCGGTGACGCAACTCTCCCGACGTGCATCACGAGCCGCAGATTGACAGTCACGACGAGCCGTTTCGCAATATTTTTGGTTTGGGGGCTGCTGCTTTTGACAAGTGCGACGTACGCAAGGGCCTGGAAGTTGAGCACCCACAGCCGCGGCAAGTCTAGGTCTAGGTTTAGCATAGCGTCAACTGAGTCTATTGCAGGCATTGTGCCTAAAGCGACACGTTAAACATGGCCCAGGGATGGATTCTCAATATTTGTCTCTTTGGGAGGGTTGCGGCTTCCGTGCTTGTACCCAGCATAACGCGGTTCAGACTCGATTGCATCGTGGCACCAGGAGGAGTTCGCTTCTTCCAACTCTGCTGGCCAGCGTCTTCAAGAACTTGTTTCCGCTTGGTATGTGGACAACTAGTATGAGGAGGGCAACACATCCATCTCGAGACGTCACGATGCATCGCATCTGCCACGCGGCGCCAGGTGGGGCGGGGGAGGGCGTCCGCAGCTTCTGTGGGAAACGGCTAAGTTGACCCCGGCATCCTGTTCAGAAATAAAATCCACCTTTAAACCCTAAACCCTAACCCTAAAAAACCTAAACCCTAAACTAAACAAAAAACCTCGCTGACTTTTCATCACCGGCCGAAGCCTGTCATGAGATGTTTTCGACTGCTGAACTCAGCTTTGCAGCAGCACCACAGGGCGGGTGAAGTCGCACCACGCTGTGGCCGAAACTGTGCAGTAGAACCTGCCCACCTGCTTGAAAGATCTTCTATACGTGCTATTCAGCCATTCCGTCTCAGTTCTTTATCTTGTTTACCTGTATCTTGGACTGTACTAAATCCGAAAGAATGCTCCACATCTGGTTCGGCCTCGGTCTGTCAGACCTTACTCCATGAATGTTAATAGATGTTAATAGCGAGTGTTCAAGTTTACTTGTGTTGTTGTCTGTTGTTTTATGCTTGGGCCTAGTTGCATCGCACTGCACCAGTCTCATGGAACTTTCAAAGCGGAACATCTGGGAAGGCAAGCTGCACCACATCTGACTCAGCTGGCCACATGAAGGTGTGACATGATTCTAATGCCACTCATGGATCAAAGGCCACCACAGATGCTCTGTGCGTCGAACATGCATCGACTTGTCTTCCAATCGTCACAGCACCACAAATTGAAAAATATCGACGGCATCGGTGTCACCGTATTTCGGAACAGCACAAATAGCACAATACGGTCCTGCTTGAGGCTGGGCTACTTAGGGACAGCACGTCTTCGAACCTTCGACCTAGACGAAAGGTCAGAAGGCGGCTAAAGCACTCGCGAAGACGTGCTGCAACACGCGACACAGCTTTGCCCGAAAAAGTCGGATCAAAGTTTACTCAGTGTCAGTAACTGGCGATGCGAGCTCTCAATTAAGGATCTGGAAACAATTGAACACATCTGCAACGGATGGGCCACGCTGCATATCACACGGCTTGCTGGCTCAGTTGGCCCAAAGCCTCTGCGGCAGCTGGCTGCATGGATCCTGTCCGGTTGTGGGGTCTCTGCGATTGTATCTTTCAAAATTCGGGAGAAAGGAAAGCACGCGCCTGCTCCAAAGAGACTCAGGGGGATGGCCAGCAGCGCAGGAATATCAGCCAAGTGCGCTGCCTCGCAAGTTGCTCGAGAGAACAGTTATCTGCCTGCACATGCCATTCCCTGAACCAGATAGTTACAGAGCCGTTGGCCCTGCAAGGGTAAGACACCGCCTCCTGCATTCTTGACATGATTCGGGAAGGCTCTGCCCCTCTTGTGAGTAGGCCAAATGTGCCTGTAAACCCTGTAGTACTCAGGAGTAACTCGAAATAACTCGATGGTTTGCAATCCACACGTCGTGCAGCCCATTGGGCCAGGTAGGCAGTCGAAGGCCAATCACCATTGAGCTCGGGCTGCCACGGCCTTCAAGAATCGCAAACACTGCCACAGTCGCACCGGCAAAAAGCGAGGGAAGGTGGCCAAAGCGGCCGAAGCATTCATGCAAAGACTATGCTTTTCCAGAAAGCGGCGGTCCGCTTATCTGGGGATGCGACTCGTCCCAGTCAACCAACTTGTGATAATAGAGGATGAGCCAAGGTCCGACGCTTGCCAGCACCTCGCCACTTCATGTCTGGCGGTTTGAACGACCTTCTGCAAGTGCCAAGTTGAAGCTAGGGTGCAACATTGAGTGCCAGGGCAAGGTTTCTATCGACTTTTTTGCGATAGACAAGGGTGGCCAGGAAAACCAGCACCTGCGCGGCAGTCATCATACCATGCTCGGTCTTCACAGCTCGAAAGTGTCAGGGCGCTATCACCTCCAACCACGCCGAGTGCTGGAACCACGTGCAACTCGCTAGGGCACGCTCTTCTTCAGCTGAGTTGCAGAGATGGTCAACGAGCCAAAACAAGGCTTCACGAGCCTTGTCAGGTTTTGGCCATCGGATTTTTTGTGCCAGTCAGCGTGTGCGTGTGTACGTGTGTGTGTGTGTGTGTGTGTGTGTGTCTCTGTGTCTGTGTCTGTGTGTGT